TATTTTGAAATGTCTATGTTAATCAATGTAGGAATGTTTAGATTTCATAATCAAAGTTGAATATATGATTAATAAGCAACTGAAAAGGACAACAAAAGATTTTTTGTAAAGTTTTCTGCCTTAAGCCAAATATTTAATACCAAAATTTCCACTGTATCCTGACTTATTATTGTACGGGTATGTTGAGAAAAAGAGAAAATTAACAAAACAAAGTAGGTGAGAACAACTAAAAAAGGAAAAAGAAAGGAAAGGCTATTGGGTTTCTAGCATCTCCTCTTTTTGTGCTTCTACTAATTTGTAATGTTTATCAACAACTGTTGTCTTTTTTTTCCCAAGCGGTCTTATCAAATCTCAAGCTGGCTGAATCTGGACCAGGGGTGGTGAGACCTGGAGATGTTCTCAACTTAGTTTGCAAAGTGACAGGTGCCTCCATCTCTGTGTCTAATGAATGGCACTGGATGAGAGACTCTCCTGAGAAGGGCCTGGAATGGGTCTCAGCCATAAATGTCCACAGTGGAAACAAATGGTACGCCGCCTCTCTGAAAAACCGAGCCACCATTTCCGCAGACGAGACCAGAAATGAATTCTACCTCCAGATCGAGTCCGTGACAGCTGCTGACTCATCGGTGTATTTTTGTACCCGGCTCTGCACAATGAGACAAAAGCTATTGGGGCTGTGTTAAAAAAAGGGTGAAATGGATTCAGCAATACAATTTACATCCCACAATGAAGGACTGGGCCATGAAGCTGGAACCACTTGTGGAAACAGCTATATGGACTTATTTCAGCAATGGGTTTCACTTATTTTTACCAGCGGTTGGCTGTGTGTGCGTATGTTCGCTTCACACATGTGTGCACCTTCCACGCATGTTCCCGGCCTTCTGTGCATGCGCTTTGGTCACATGTGTGCCTTTTGTTCATGTGCCCGGCCTCCAAAATGTGACTAAATAGGACAGTATAGCACTGGGGCAGATGGGCAGGCCCACCAGCGATCTCCCTTACCGTTTCACTTGAACCGGTCTGAACCAGCTGAATATCACTTCCGATTTCTTTGATTAGGAAAAGAACAAGAACTGCTTTTATAAAGGACTGGAAAGCCTTGACTTTTTCCCCACTAAAAATGGATAAAAAATGATGTCAGGTAATGAGGATTTAATAGCTGCCAGCTGATGTAAGGTTGTAAGATGATGCAATGAGGATGATTCAGCAACATATGGTGTCGCCTCTTTAAGACCCTGATGGGGTCCACAAAAGTCATTTTCCTTTTTAAGAGGTGTCTATATATAGGTGGCCATTAGAGGGCATTTCTCTCTCTCTCTCATCGTGTATCTCATTTGTCTCCTTGTGTCCGTAGCTGAGTGGTAAGGGATATAATACACATAATGTGCAATATATGTATATATAAACCACTATTAATTGTACAAACACTCTGTGTGCTGCGTGCTCTGTTTTGCCCCTGGGTTTATCTCATAATAATAGCCACACTGCCAAAACTCTCAAAAATGAATGTGTTGTGACCCAGTTCCCAAACACAACAAGCATGCTGTTTTTAACCAACAGATCCAATTATTAGGACTGCCGGCGGCCCCAGGAAAGAGGCTCTGTCTCTGTCTCTCTGTCTCTCTGTCTCTCTGTCTCTCTGTCTCTCTGTCTCTCTCTCTCTCTCTCTCTCACACACACACACACACACACACACACACACACACACACATACACGGCAAACAAAGTCTCTAAGTAAAAGTACGAAGGTGATTTCCTTTCCTCCTGAAATGGCTCCAACACACCAGGAGTCTCTCTCTCTCTACACACACTCATAAAGGGAGTCCTGGAAAGTGTGCTTGCTCTTATGCAGCGCACACACAAACACACAAACAAACACACATACTCAAAAGGTGCGCCCGACTCTCAGCACCACAGATTCCAAGAAAGAATTCCGATAAAATTCCCAACAAGATTCAGAAGTTCAGGCTATCAGTGGCTGACCCACATGGAGATGAATAGCTGTCTGCCAACCTATTAGTCACCACTCCCCCTGCTTTTTATCCCCAGAGTTAGGGTGGGGCTTCCACCCCAAGGGCCAGCCCATAGATTCCTGCTGCTCTCCTCTTTTCTTCTGCATATCTGTGCATTAGTCATCAGACCCAGATATTTCTCCTCTTCTTCATCAGGCACCTCCAGACCTGGGGGCTATTGACTCTCCATCTGAGGGCTGATGGATGGCCCAGATTCCATCTCTCCCCCCCTCTCTCTCTGAAAGCTCCATTCCCTCTTTCCTCTTGGAGCTCTGTTTGCCTTGATGCTGACCCTGATTCCCACTCCACCTCCTCATCTGATTTGGCAGCTGGGGGGATGCTGGTGGCTGACAGGACACAACAGAATGATTTTCTTATAATTTATTGTAATTTAATTTTGCAAAGAAAACATATTTATACACACACATACAAACACGCTCAAACATTTTACCATGCATACCAATATATTCCAAAAATCTGTGAGAAGAGGATTCAGAGAATTAAGAGCCTCGGTGGCACAGTGGTTAGAGTGCAGCATTGCAGGCTATTTTCTGCTGACTGCCAGCTGCCTGAAATTTGGAAGATTGCATCTCCCCAGGCTCAAGGTTGACTCAGTCTTCCATCCTTCCAAGGTTAGTAGAATGAGGATTCAGATTGTTGGGGGCAATAGACTGACTCTGTAAAACTGCTTAGAGAGGGCTGTAAAGCACTGTGAAGTGGTATATAAGTCTATGTGCTATTGCTATTTGTTAAAATATTCATAACTGGGAGAGACATGGGAACAAAGTCAGCCAATAAAGAGGCATAGCCACTAAGTCAGCCAATGGGAGATTAAACAGATATGATTCTGTGCAGAGAATTGAAACAGAAACTTAAACAGTCTGGGGCTCTGAGAAGTAAACTAGTGGTCTTGTCTGGGCTTGTCTGCTGATATGAAACTAACTGCTTGTGTTTGCCTGTAACTCTCCTGCCTTGTGTTTATTTGGGAGAACCACTTGTTGGTATTGTAGATTTATTCATCTATTCTTATGTATATAAAGAAGTTAATGAATCCAGCTGAATCAGTTGTCTGTGTGTGTTTTCTGGATTTGATTTTTCTGCAACAAACTCTGACACTATTGCTTTTCATGATGAAAGGGAAAAGTTTGGTATAGATATCATCTGCTTTGGAGTGCATCACAAACATTTGAAATACGGAGATTTTCATAACTTTGGAATTGTTTCTTATGACCTCCCCGAAAGCGAGTCCAAAAAACTTTGAAGTGTTAATTTTATGTCTCCATTATATTTTTGCTTTCTTCACCTTCCTCAAATGTTGCAAAAACATAACCCCAATTCCTGCTGATATGACTGAAGAATCTGCCGATAAAATTTCACACAGATTGAGATTTTAATTTCCCTCCACCTCAATTTCTCCAAAGAAGCAGAAGGAAGCCCATTAGCCAACGTTCTAATAAAGTCAGGTTTTAAGAACTCATTTTCCCACACTGCAATAGAGGAGGAGTTCATGCAAATACTTGCCATGGTGATGGTTCACTTCAAAATAAGCCCGTCCAGGATGAGAGCCTCATTTCCTTTGAAGTTGAAAGACCTCACTAGAGGGCCAGGATGACGTTATGGTTCCTTGCAGTTTGTTTTACAGCCCTCCCAAAATGTAAGAATATTTCATGGGAAATCGAGAGGTCTTTATTTAGTCAGTGATGTTTAGGGAGATTCTCAGTCATCCAGGTCCTGGTTGTCCCAAAGGTGCTTTTTTCAGGAGGCAACTGGACTTCCTTGTTCTTTTCTTTCTTTGGAAGACATCTTGCTTCTCATCCAAGAAGGCTACACACCAATTTGCACTACTCAGGTGACCCCCGAAGACCTCCAAATGTTTATGCAATTATGTATTTATTTTATTTCATCAAGCATGAATTAGATAACAGATATAAGTATAAACATGATTATGGATACATGAAATTGGTACGAATACAAGGGAATATTAGGACAGGGGCGTGAACTTATGCACACCCCTTAGAGACCTCTTAGGAATGGGGTAAGGTCAACAGTAGACAGTCTAAGGTTAAATTTTGGGGGTTTGGGGAAGAAACCACACTGTCAGGTAGTGCATTCCAGGCACTGACAATTCTGTTGCTGAAGTTGCATTTTCTGCAATCAAGTTTGGAATCAAATGGCCTCGATGACTCTCTAAAAGAAATGAATGCAATGAATATAAATCCTTCCATTTCTCGTCATCCAGACAGAGCTGAAGAAACTTCTTGGATGAGAAGTGAAACGTCTTCGAAGAAAAACAACTTGACTCCTGAAAAAGCACCTTTGGGATAGTCGGTGGTGTTGCTTCACTAATTGCAATCATGTGTGGTTGTTATTTATTTTTTTCCCCAAGGGGTCTTCGCAGAAACTCAGCTTGCAGAATCTGGGCCAGGAACGGCGAAACCTGGAAGTCAACTCAACCTAGTTTGCAAAGTCACAGGCTTCTCCATCGGTCATTCATTATATGAATGGCATTGGGTCAGGCAGCCACGCGGGAAAGGTCTTGAATGGCTCTCAGCCATCAATGCCAACAGTGGAAGCAAATGGTATGCCAATTCTGTGAAAAGCCGTATCACCACTTTGGCGGATCGGTCCAGGAATGAGTTCTCCCTCCAACTGAATTCTCTCACAGCTGCAGACTCCTCTGTGTATTTCTGTGCCCGAGAGCTCACAGTGTGACAGTATATATTTGGCCACTGTAAAAAAAGAGGAAATTG